TCTTTGTATGGCTTGAAGCGGTCTCCGAGGCAATAGTACAAGAGATTTGACTCATTCATGGTGTCTAATGGTTATACTCGTAATTAGTTTGATAACTGTGTTTACTCGAAGAAAGTTTCTATTGATTCCTTTGTGTATCTGCTGTTGTATGTGGATGATATGTTAATTGCAGCTAAAAACATGGCTGTAATTAATGACTTGAAGGCTCTACTAAAAGGTGAGTTTGATATGAAGGATTTGGGTGCGGCAAAGAAAATACTTGGTATGGAGATCTGGCGTGATAAAGAAGCAAGACGGCTATGGGTTTCTCAAGAAAAGTATATTGAGAAAGTTTTGCAGGCATTCTCTGTTGATCAGTCCAAACCGGTAAGTACCCCTTTGGCGGCACACTTTAAACTTGATCGAAGCACTATACCGGCTACAGATGAAGAGGTTAGTTACATGAAGACGGTTTCATATTCAAGTGCAATTGGAAGTCTTATGTATGTGATGGTATGTACGAGACCGGATCTCGCTTATGCGGTTAGTGTGGTAAGCAGGTTTATGGCTAATCCGGGTAAAGCTCACTGGGGAGCTGTAAAGTGGATCTTGCAATATTTGAAATGAGCGTCTGATATTTGTCTGGTATATGATGATAAAGGCCATGGTGATGGTCTTGTTGGCTATGCAGACTCTGATTATGGGGGTGACTTGGTGAAACGAAGATCACTGACTTGTTTTATCTTCACTCTGTTTGGATGTGCAGTCAATTAGAAGTCTACTTTACAACCTACGGTTGCACTGTCGACGACTGAGGCGGAATACATGTCAATGACTGAAGGTATTAAGGAGGGTATTTGGTTACATGGTCTGGTGCAGAGTTTGGGTCTGAAGGTGGAGAAACCGGTGTTATTCCGTGATAGTCAAAGTGCTTTGAGTTTGGCTAAAAACCCAGTGTATTATGAGAGAACCAAACATATTGATGTAAGGTTGAATTTTATCTGTGATGTTCTGGAGGAAGACAAGTTTTCTATTTAGAAAATAGCTACATAACACAATCCAGCTGATATGTTGACAAAGGTGCTACCAACGGAGAAGTTTGAGCACTGCTTGAACTTGGTGAATATTCGCAGAAGGTAAAACCCTCTCGGGGCATTTGGCAGGAAGGAGACGACTGAGAGATACTGACGAAACTTTGGCAGTTGGAGAAACTCCAAGTCAAGGTGGAGATTGTTGAAACGTGACTTGGATTTAGCGATCTACCCGACCCTAAACCAAACCGAAAGGGCTGTTTCAATTGGCAGGGTTCCTTTTGGGCTTATCCTAATTAATAACAAATGGGCTTAGGGTTTAGGGTGTTTTGGGATGCTTATAAATAGACAACTATGGTTCTTAGTCGGATGACATATTGTAAATCTCTGAATCAGTATAATAAAATCTCTCCGGTTCCTGCCCATGGACGTAGGTTGACACACCGTCACCAAACCACGTAAAACTTCTGTGTTCTTTATTTGTTTTCTTTCTCGTTTTCTCATAACAATACTCAAATGGGACAAACTTGGTCTTAAATTAAAGCTAACACATATATCTATATTTCCAATTAAATCAAAAAATGAAAATAATATCCAAAAAGAATATAATATTAGTTAAACTTACCGAACAGACCTTTCGTCAAGAAATATGTTGTAAATTTTTAAAAATTAGATAAAATTCATTTTAGACAAAAATGGAACAAATTTGGTCTCTAGTTAAAAGATTACACAAAAATTTACACCTCAAATAAAACAAAAGTATATAAACAACACTAAAAAATTACAAAAAATGCATCAAAATAGTATTTTGTTTTATAAGAGATTTCGTGATAATGACATAATAAAGAAATTGAAACTAATTTTATTTGTTTGTTTTATAAAATAGTTTGAAGGGATAGTTTTGTATATGAGGTATAGAAAATTGTATTGGTAATATAAACATAATGAGTGTATGTGATATATTAATTTTTTTGGAAAAAATGTACTTTGTTTTTTGGTTTTTGACAAAAAAATACCCTGTCCTTTATTAACTACTCCATTCGTCCGGCTGTAAGGGTCTCATTTACTTTTTGCGTTATTGTACTTTAACATTAAAAATATACTTATATTTGTATAATATTTTGTACAAATGGTATTGTAATAGTATTATAAGACACTAATATAAGTATTTTTGTCATTTTCCCTTAATTTATATTACGTTTACATATAATAATTAATATTCAAAGATGAACAGACAAAAGGTAGATGACCTTAGAACCTGACGGGGGTAGCATTATTTATTTATTTATTTTTGTTCTCTAGGATGCCTTATTTTTCTTGAACATGGTTTTCCTTTTAAGGCAAGGTATTGTCTTCGTGATTGGTGAATCTATCTTCCTCCTTTCTTAATTAGATTCTTCTGAGCTATTGGATGTACTTTAGACACTACAAGAAAAAATATATTTTTGTAACAAAACTTTTTTGTCTCTAAATTTACCTTTTCCGTTACTAATGACATTAGAGGCAGAATTAAGAATAAAATTACGTTAGCTACGTGAACTTTAGGGACGAAATTCTGTTACAAATATATTATATTTTTGTAGTGAAAACTTTGATCAACTTTATTCATGTTGTTTAACTTCCCATGTCCCACATAGGAAGTAGATAAAAAGGTAGGGGAGGGGCATTGACTCCTATAAATTGACCCCTTTGGGTCCTATTTTAAGATGACAACAAACCTTTTCCTTTAGTAATTAGAGAGGGCGAAATTAAGATTTGATGAGTTGTTGTCAGGAGGGTTTTGCAATTTTATCCGTGCAAAAATTGTAATAAATATTTTAGTGGATTATCTCATTTTAGGATCGTGGATGTAGATCTGTTGTAAGACCGAACCACGTTAAATTATCTTGTCTTATAATTTTATTTTTTTCTCTCTTCCTTGTGTGTTCGCAACCATTCATACAATACGTTTAATTTAATTCAATTATTTATAAATAATACTGGTTGAATGGGGAAAAGGCCAGAAAAATAGGCTTTTGTTATGTGTATGAATTAAATATATATATATATATATTCAATATATATAATGATGATTAGCATAAAGGAGGAGCTGCACTAATGAAACAATAATTAAATAAATTAATTCCGATTAAAAGAAATCAAATAAATTAAAGCAATGAGAACAATAATTAGTTATAATTCCCATGAATATACTTGTGATTGCAATCTTTCGTGCCATTCAATATGATGTTCTATTTTATTATCATTAATTAATTTTTAAGTAATTAATTGTTCACTCAAATCTAGCACTGTATATAATATGCATATATACTATAGGCATTTCTTTTATTTATTTATTTATTTATTTATTTGATTATTTATTATTGGATACAACTTTTCATATGCACAGATAAGAAAGTCTTTAGCAAAATCGTGCTTGAAGAAGCATGCAATATATAGTGTGTATGGAACCCGGACAGACAGACAGACAGACTGGCGGAAAGATTTTGTACAAGGTATGAAAAAGACAATCGAAGTGTAGTGCGAGTCGCAATTATACTAGGATATATATATATATATATATATACACCCGGCTTCGGCTTCATTTACAGTGTAGAGGCCTTAGCAGAGATTGAATGTCCATTTAGTATTAATACTTAATTGGTTGTACATGTTGTGCCGATCCGGCCAAGTCAGGATGGTGTAATTTAATTGGGTCAGCATATATCATATAGGTGATTAACATATATTTATATATATCTCATCATATGATGCATTATAAGATACCATATGTTGAATTACAATGCTCCTTATGTCCCATTTAATTTGTTCTAGAAAATTGCAAAAAATATCATTCATGTATACCTTATTATTACTTTTGTTCCGTATTTATCTCTACAGCAAAATATATCATATATGTTTGCAAAAGTCGTTATTATTGTCCTTTGGCCATGCGTGATGTTCACACCATGCGCGGTTACGCACTGCTACGCGCGGCCAAATGATATAAATAACGACTTTTACAAACATATGAGATATATTTTACCAGCAAAATAAATATATGACAAAAGTAATAATGATGTATATATGAGATATATAGTTTGCAATTTTTCTTAATTTGTCCACTCTTTCTATTTCCGTCTCTACCGCATAATGTGTTCTTTCATTTTTGGAAATATAATTATACATTTTAATCACATTTTTAAATTAATAATTAATAATTTTTATTTTAATTAAATTATTTAGTCATCTTAATCTTAATTTATAATTATTTTTATTAAAATATAATTATTTTTACTCATATATTTCTCAATTACTTACTAATTATACAATACATAAAACGACATGCCTAAGCAAAATAAGACAATTTAAATGGGACGGAGGTAGTATAATATAATTATCTATTATAAATATGTTGAAATATGTATAGATATATGTTAGCCATCCCTATTATGTATATGAGCATATGCTAACACTACCAAAAAATTGACTTTTTGTAGCAGTCTGAAATTCGTAACCAAAGCTCAATTTTTGTGCAAAAAGGCCTTTTGTGTCGACTTTGTTACGGATTTGAACTACTACGAAAAGTCACAGTACAAAAGGTCATTGCTGCAACAAAATTCGTAATAAATAAGTGGTAGTCAACGCAGTAAATAAGCATGTGTTAGGTTTATTTGTTACATTTTTTATACGCAACAAAAAAATTGATCATGTTTTTGTGACGACATATGTCCGTATCCAAAAATGCGGAACAAAAGTAAAATCTTGTGAGAAAACTTTTTGTTAAAAAATATATCTGAAACAAAAAAGGCGGTACAAAAGTAGACTTTTTGTTAGAAAATTATTTGTTACAAAATTTGTCCATAACAAAAAAAATTAAGTACAAGGCATGTGATTGTAAAACACCATTTGTGTCAGTCAATGCCTATAACAAAATGTTGCTACAAAAGGTTTTTTGGCGTCAAAGAAGGATTTTGTTATAAAATTAATTTCATTACAAATAGCATAATACCTGTTTTTATATCAAATACAAAAATTATAAAAACAATATACAAAATGACACTGATCCAACAATGTTTCCAACACGCCAGAAACATAAATGTAATATTTTACCCCTAACAACCTTATCAAATAAGTACCAACACATCCAAAATCCAGAATATCGAACATCCAAAAGATAAAGAAATAAACATAAGTATTAACGTAGTATAATGAACACACATGGTCGTTGTTCTGCAATTTCCCAGGAGTCACTCAAGGATGACAAAGCAGTTGCAATTGAAAAATAAACTTGTTGCTCCAATCTCCGGGAAAGCACTCAAGAACGGCAAAGCAGCTGCAATGAAATGTGCACTTACATAAGATTTTAATTTCCACATAATAACTACAAAGCATATATCGCTCAAGAGAAGATCTTCTATTTGCTTTAACGCATTGAAGAAACAAAAATACACAGATAATATAAAGAACTACAAACTATAATACAAAAATTTCTATCAAATTCTTATCTAAACTATCTTTTAAATATAAAACCAAAATAAAACATTTGTAATTCATCACCTAAATTAACCAAAACAACATTTGAGTTCATTCAATACATAACATTGATAATTCATCACCTAAATTAACCAAATAATTTTCAGATTTGGCATGCCCTTAAGTCCATCATACTGATTCAATCCAAATCATTCTGAAATAACTATATAGCATTTAAAACTTTGATATGATGCAACACAAGAAAATAACAAAAAGAATTAAAAATCTATATGATATATGGCATGCCCTATAGTTGAAGCACCATACATGTATAGTTTAACTTTAACACGATTTATAGAAATCTTGAACAAGAAATTGTATACAAATTAAGCCTGTAGAGGTTCATGTAGTGTGCCATGATGTTTAGATCCAAATAGGTCCATTTTGATAGTAATAGAGGAGTATGTAATATGCCAAAGTGGTAGTACGATGGGTGTAACCATATTACTAGAGCATTCTAGAGGACGAATGGGGAACAGACCAAAACATCATTCATTACGTGGCATAGTTGATGCAATTAGTTTTCTTTATTTGTAAACATCTTAGAGTTCTCATCCAACTTTGGAGGAATGTAAGAAGTTAACATTCAAATCCGTATCAACCTAGAAGTTAGACTTTTATATTACCGTAGAAGTTACACAATACTATGTTCACAATCATAACATTGATTAAACAACAATTCCAATGGTGTATAATATATTATTTTTATGAATCTTTATATGTAAAGCCTAAGGCTACCTAAGAAAGTGATCAAACTGTGGAACATGCTTTCATTTTCTAAAACAATGTCTACAGGTATACATAATTAATGACATATCTTGCGAGAAGAGGGTAAATGCTTTGAGATTGGAAGGGTGATGGGTACCAACACGAGCAAAATGATTATCTTATGCAGTATACGGAAGATTGGAATGACCGGTGAGCTGCGGCTGCGATTAGCTGCCCGGCATTCATAAACTCATATTCTATGGAAATTATTGATACATTTATAGATGGAGAACCTGGAGAGAAATGGTCATTTTGAGTGCGGTGTTTTTGCGCTATTGTGATGATAAAATATATGGGAGTCTTACAATCATAGTTAGTTTCATTCTATTCTCCGGCAAGCTAAATCTTACATGAATATTTTATTCAGTGACATACATATTTCCGCACACAAAGCAGGGAATCATAGTGTGTGGAGCTGAACTGTTAAGATAAATAGAACTAATTAACCAAGCTACAACTAGTGCAGACTAAGTAATTAGCTAGCACATAGATTAGTAAGTCTGAAACAAAACAAGCAATACAAAAAACAAAACAATTTCAAGGTTTTACTTAGTAATCAATATCTCAAGCAAACCTGAACCTAATGCATTAAGCACCTAGCTTAACCAACCTCAGGTTCAAATTCTTAAGTGTTGAATCAACTTAGAGAACCATGTATCCATATTTGCAAGCATTTATTTAAAATTGCTTTCTACTATTCAATGAAAAAAAAAAAGAAATATGCATTCAAATGTTACACTTTAAAAACGAAACCCACCTAAACGGACTCAACGCAACAATAACTCAGCCGTGACATGAAACTAGTATATTGATTCCTAAGACATCAGAAGGGCAAGTATTTGAAAATGTCTTAAGGTGGACAGTAGATCTTGTCCTTGTCCTTGATCCATGTTGTCTAAGGTGTCAATAATGCTTTTCACAAGTCACTCAGGAAAATGTGTTTTTAATGTAGTAAGTACATAAGAAGACATGTTAAGATTGAAGTTGTAGATTAAAAGAATCTAATCTAGCCTTAATAAAGAGCCAAGCACAAAGACACCTAGAAAATTAAAAGGAAACAAGATAAAATAAAGCCATACCTCTCATCACCATCAGGCACCAATAGGATACCAAACACCAGAATGAAAACAATTATGCTATTCAAACACCACGGAGCTTAAAGAATATGTGTTCAATAAGAATTACTAAGGGAAGAAAGACATTAAGTTCCTTTATCCAAAGTAATAAACTTACGGTATGAAGTCGTTTTGTAGATCTCTTGACAAGGTGACAATTAATCTAGACCATAAAAAATGCAATTCATAAATAACAAGATTTACAACCATTCTGGACAAAAAAAATAAAAAATAAAAAAACTTGGGATTTGACAGTTCATAAACTTCATCAGGGCATAAAGTGTATTGAACCGTAAATATATCATGTAATTCAGAGTGCATACCACATATATAGCACTGGAAAAGTTTAGAGATCAATGAAGCTTCATAAAAGATGAGCCCTTCCCTAAAGATTTAGTGCTATGAAGCTTGTTAGGCTCCTCATACATAATACAAAATATGTGTACTAATAATAGATTCTCGAAAAAAATTTTAAATGCACAAATGCAAAGCAACATGATATTTACTTAATTAATTGCTACAATAATGTATTGGTAACAACCCATTAATGAAAGGACATTTATTGAAAGCAAAACCATCTAACTTTATATTTTTGGTTAACTAAACAAAATTTCAGCTACCAAGAATGAAGTATTACCTAAAAACATAATCAGAAGACAAGATTCCCAAGTGTGTCACTATAAGGGTGCCAAGAAATATGCAAAGTCCGCACAAAGTAATTTTTTTTTAATGAAGTAGTGTTCTGCGCCGACCGAAACAGCATGTAAAGAACTTGAGTTAACAATGATAATTGTGACTCTGTAATATATAATTAATATACAACATCATCTTCGTTAATTCCATTCAGCACAAGGAACTCTAATATGCTATAGTAAGCACTAATCACAACGACTAGAATAGATTATTTTTATATCAAATAAGAAGATACCCAAAACAACACAAAGCATGGTCTTCAGTTCACAATGCTTTAAACATATATACATTCTTTTTTTTTTTTTTTTCATTTACATAATAAAAACATACTGCATAGTGTTCTTTCCCTGCCTTCACACTTTATAAACAAACATCAGCCAAAAAAAATCATCGAGATAAGACTTTTTGGGAAGTTTTGGGTAGAATTTCTGCGATTCTACGATGTAATTCTCCCAGGACATTGAAAACCTTAACTGGCATAAGCTTCATTTATGAAATTTCATAATATGTAGAAAAAAAAAACATAGAAATTATGATCGAAGACAATAACATAGGACCACCAAAATTTAGGAATTAAGTTTCAAATCATGTTTTAAAGAAGGAAAATCAACACCAAAAGGCACATGAAATCATTCAAAAATTTATATAAGAGAACCAATTCGAACAAAATTCTACTCAATCAAGGGGAAGCACATAATACGCGTTATTAAAATAATAATAAAAAAAATAGACGGTTGAACTAGCCACATAATTCGAAGAACAATAAATTAGAAGGGCTTACGATTACAAAATGGAAGACAACACAAACCTTTGGGGATAACACCAGATAGTCATCTTTTGCACTAGTGTGGCTGGTGGAAGACGTCATCGGACGGAGTTGGGGACGTCGGCGCGAGGCGACGATGGGGCAGGCGAGCAGCGATGTGCGAGAAATCACTTTGGCGGTGTAGTTGGGTTTGGGTTTAGGATATTGGATTAGGGTTATGATTCATTTTTAGTTTTATTTTTTTAAAAAAAATAATAATAATAATTTGTAAATTTTTTTCAAAATCCTTAAGTCATTTTAAAATTTTTCTCAAAATTTATATGTACTTTTTAATGCAGATTTTTTGTTTATTTTAAATATTATATGCTTGTGTTTTTATTTAATTTTTTTAATAATATATTTTTTATGTTTTAAAAAATAATTAATTTTTTTTAATTGATATTTTAGGTATGATTTATGAAAATATTTTCATATTTTTATTTTTATTTATTTTTTTGATAAATTTATTCAATTTTTAAATAAATTTATTTTTAAAATAATTATATACCGATTTTTTTGATATATAGAATATTTAAAATTGACTTATTTGTTACGGCTTGAATTGCATAACAAATATATATATGACGATGTTCCGTCCAAAATGTAATTGTTACGGATAACTATCGAAATAAATAATCTTTTTTTTTTTCTAATTTTAAAATAATTCTATATAGATTTTCTAAGTATATAGAAAATTTTTAAATTGACCTATTTGTCACGGCTTGAATTACGTAACAAATATATATATATGACGAAATTCCGTCCAAAATATAGTTGTTACGGATAAATTGTCGAAATAAATACAAAAAAAAGTTGACCAATCATTAAACTTTTTTGTGACGACAACTTTCATAACAAAAGTCACTTTTTGTGACGAATTTATTTTGACGGACTACATATCCGCTACAAAAAGCCAATTTTTTGGTAGTGTGATCCGATCAAATATGATCCATACCCTGTTTAATTAGTGCATCTAACACTGAGTACTATGTGAAATAAGAATTGTGTACTATCTATTTATTTTTTAAATCGGTGATCTAGAAAAGTGCGTATGTTGTTCTATAAAAATATGTCTGATACTCAATAGAAATATATTGGTACTTTATAAAATATATCTAGTGCTCTATGTAGTGTATATTATATTCTATATTGTGTTGTTAATTCCCCAAATACCATCAATTCAAGAATTCATAAACCATCGATCAAGAATCTAAAATACACCAATCAAGAGTCCATAAACTAACGTTATTAATATACTATATGATATTTGGAATTTCAATAAGTGCTATTTGAACAATTGAACGATGTTATATGATAAAATCAACACGGTGCTGATTTTATCAAATAAGTACCATAACTGCGTCATATAAGCAGTGTGTTTACTTTGAGTGATTAGAGTAAATAATATTATTTTATCCAACTTAATTATATATCTACTGTAATTGATTAAAATTCGATTTAATTAAAACTCTCTACACTAATAGACTTTTAATTAAGGATAATTAAGAAGGATGAAATTAATTTATTTAAAGAATATTTATACTAAATTGACGTTATCTTATATTTTATCAAATAAAGTAAATTTTATTTCGATTATGCATGTGACTAAAGTGCCGATGTACAATTTAATTAAGCATTTGCTGAATTAAATTTTAACCATTTATCTTATATTAATAATTTTAAAACTAAAAATTGTGAAAAGATTAAGGACTGATTTAAATTCAACCATTGTTGAATGAATAAATTTAGTAGAAATCGTCCGATTAATTAATATCATAATTATATAGGGTTTGTTTCATCGGTGTTTTGATTTGATTTTTTATGTAAAGAATAGAAATTTTCGTCGGTAAAAAAAAAAAATTATATTAAATAGGATTTTTGTGATATGATAAAATATATATATATTGAGAATTTTTGTGATACGATAAAATATATATTGAAAATCATATAGAAAAAGAAAGTTTGAAAGAACAAACTCATAATCTATTAAATAATCATAAGGATTACAATAATATCCTTTAAAGTAAATGCACAATATTATACTCCCTCCCTCCTATTTCAAAGTATCATTTTTATCATTTTCAAGAAGTTGGGACACCAATCTTAAGGTTGGTTGTTTGGTTAGTCTTGAATTTTACAATTAAGGATAAGAGAATAGAAGAGAAGAGTAGGGATTTGATAGATAGATAGATGATTATAATATGTTTATGTTACTTATTATTGGAAGATTTTGGCGTTTGGAGGGTACCGAGAATTATCTGAAAGAGAAGAGAAGAGGGAGGAGGTGAGGTGAGGAAATGCTATCTGCCTACCTGCTTGGTGGTTGATTGTTGTAATTGTTGTGATACTTCTTGTTCTTCTTGTCGTAATATATGTTCTATGTCTTTAACAGATAGACAAAGCAAGGTAACTAGTAAGCAAGCAAGTTCAGTAGATAAACTTAAAAGTCATAGTGGAAAATAAGTATTCCTAATATAAATGCATTTACATTAGAACCAAAGAATTGTTCAATCAATTAACTTACAGTACTATACTTGTTTGTTTGTGGGGAAGGACGATAAGATGAACATGCAGATGTAAATGAAAATGGAGAGAAACTCAGAGAAAATGAAGGATTGGAAGAAGAAAAAAGAAAGAAAATAGATTTGTTTTCTGATGAATTTAGAAGTTTCCATATTCAGTTGTCAAGATAGAAGCATGCTTGCTCAATTTTGGAATGATGCATATCAAGCATGAATTTTTTTTTTTTTTTTCAAATTACATTATACCAATTTATATCATATTTTACTGTCTCCTGTTTTCATTTATTTTTTTTCCTTTTAGGTCACTCCTAATGGATATGCATAGATGGCTCCATGTGCAGTGCTCTATCTGATAGTTCAGCATGCTGCATTCATTAGTTTCAATATTTTAGTTTAGTTTGTTTCTAGTTTTGCAACATGTTTGTTTTCCTAATGTGGATTCTAACAGGTAGGTGTTATGTATTTGTTTTGTTTTATATTAAATTCTTCATCAATGTTTATATTTCATAATTAATTTTTCTCTTAGGTTGGACGTGAGAGGCATTCAGCCTTATGTCTTGTGCAAAAATTTGTAAACTTGAAGGAAATAGGAACTAAATTGTAGATTATATCTGCATGTGTTGTTGATCACTTAAAGGGCTTTATTTTTTTGTTGAAACTGATAGACAACATGATATCTATGAAGTGATTTTCTTGCCCTTGTTCGAGTATCTGATTATTATATCTAGTTAAAGTAATTGTGTTTGAACAATCTATCTACATTTGAGGCTTTTTGTTAGATGCATGCATAAACAATTTCGTGTGGGTGTATTATATGTATCATATATCTACTTGAATTCTTAGTAATGTTAGGAACTATCTAAAATTTTGAATTTGCAGGCATATAAAGGGATTGGGACTGTATATTCCAGTAAAGTGATGAAGGTTCTAACTAATGAAATTTCTCGTTTTCAATCGGTAAGAAACAAAACGGTTGGAATCTCTAAGGGCATGTTGGCCCGATCTTTAGTGGAAGGCATAAATGTGATCTTGCATAAGTAGAAAACTATCTGCTAACATTGAGAAATTTCATTGGTATTTCTGGAAAATAATTTCCTAACTTTGTGAATTTAACCAATATATGCTAGGTTGTATATGTCAATGAAGTTCGGAAGAAAGTAACTATGAAATTGATTCCAAGGATTGATTCAAAAGCAATGGATGAAAAAATTGTAAGAATATTCACTTCTTATTGTTTTCAGATGTTTTGAGATGTCTGTCATTCCATTTTGATGCAAATGCCTATAGATGTATAAGTGTAAACACCTGCATGGGCCTGCACAAACACACATGTTAATATTCATTTGTAGAGCTGTTTGATAGTTTATTATTGTTGTATGATTTATTGTTATTATGTTTTAGTGGTCACCCCAAAGTTGTGTTTTGGTTTTAGTTGTTGGTATATGCTTATTTAAGATAGGATCCAGACAATAATTTGATTTAATTTCGGATTGGTTGAAATAAGTTTAATTTAATTTATTTAATTTTGAATTTGTTGAAATAGGTTTTTTGTAATTTATATAGAACCTGTTTGATTGAATTGGTTTAATGTATTCCATGTCGATCCAAATGAAGAGACATACAAGGATTTATAAATTGTTAGTTCGATTTGTATTTTTTGTTATTATCTAATTGATTTGCAACTTAGTCTAATGTATTTTTGTTATTATCTTAGGATTTCAATGCAACTTTTTTTTAGCCTTTATACTTTTTTTTTTGTTTTTTTGTATATTTCGAACATCGATTAAATAATTTAAAATTTAGACTGATATACTATTATGATTTCAGTACAGCTTCTTCATTGGCCTCGTTCTTGGATACTTTTGCCGGGGATTCATTTCCACTTTACTCTCCTGGTGGTCAATTTTCTTTGTTGCTTTTTTTAGGTGTCTCGCCTTGAAACGATATTGTATGAATTGCTCTTGAGGACTGATGAATATTTTTTTAATGTGTATTGTGGTTGAGTAGGAATTGTATATATTATTATTTTTATTGTCTTAGAATTTGTAGTGTGATGTACGGTGTTGATTGTAATGGAATGGCTTAGTCCTTGATATTACTGCTATAATTTCGTAATAAATGTTTTTGTGATTCTTATTGACGAATGAAATGGCGTAATAAAAATCGTAACAAAAGCCAATCCTATGTGCAAAAAGTCCGATTTTTTGTTACAAACTATGTGACGTAACAAAAAATGTAACAGAAGCCAAGCCCATGCACGGGCCGGGCTGATTTATTGTGATGAAGAAAGAGCGTAATAAAAATCGTAACAAAAGCTCCGCCCACGCGCGGGCAGGCAGCGTTGACCATCCACAATTGTGATGAAAAATTGCATGGTAAAAAACATTCGTTACGCGAGTATACATTACGGTAATAAGTCGTAACTACGGCGTTACAAAAACTATATTTTGCACGAAAAACAAGTTTTAGTTACGATTTTTTGGCGTAGCATAAAACTGCTTTTTTGGAAGTGAGTATTCAAATGAATTTTTTCCAATTTCAGGTTCGTGAAATATTTCTTATATTTTAGGATGGTGTACGCTGATGCACTATCAATGAGACATAAATTGTCTT